TGTTGTATACATATATAGTGCGGGTTTCCTTCTGGTGCTCCGGTTTCCCACACAAAGGCATGCGCTATAGAATAAAGTGAATGGATTAAACTAAATTGGCCATAGTGTATGAGTGTGTGCAAATGAGTGTTTCCCAGTACTGGGTTGCAGCTGGAAGGGGATCCGCTGCATAAAACATATGCTGTCATAGTTGGGGGTTCATTCCACTGTGGTGACCTCTGAAATAGAGACTAAGCCGAAAGAAAATGAATGAATGAATAAATGTATGCACATAAACAATACATCAAAGAATGCATTTTTTTTTTACAAATGTTAAACCACAAATACAATATAATTCCAAATTAATACACGGTTCTAAATACTAGTCACAATCTAGCTGAAGAAATCCTGCTAATGGGATTTTAAATTTGAATAAGTGTACTAAGGATTGCAAATCATATAAAGTCACACATTATGGTTTCATGACCATTGGAAAGTATGTTCTATACTGCATGAGTATGTGTAGTATGAATACAGTTTGCATACAATGCATACAACACCTTAACAGGTCTACAATGTGATCTAGATTGCTTCATTATCCTTCACTTGCTCACTTGTGGCCTCATGTGACTCTAAACTAAATAATAGATGCACATTTGATGGGCAAAATCCCAATTGCTAAACTTGGTTAACAAAAAAAAGCAAACAATAATAATCAGTCGCTTGGTTACATACTATTTTTCCCCTTCTAAAACTATGAAAATAGCCATACTTGGATGCAGCGAGAATGTTTTCACCTTAAAACTCTCACAGCTTAATCTGTGATTATTCCCTTTAATATAGAATGAACTAAAAATGTGAAAGATACAAGAGGAATGTGCTTTACAAGACTTTGTGGATCACAGGGACACTTATGTCATATTTCACAGATAACCACAGTTAATTATGCCACATTTTCATTCCTCTGATTATTCTATATATGCCAGACAAGATGTTATCTGTCCCGTAGATCACTTTAAAAGGACATGTGCGCCTCTGGATCACTCGTTTCTCTGCTAAATGTCTGTCTTGTTCTTGTTTTTCTGTCTTACAGTAGCTCTCTGTGACTTTTTTTTTTTTACTTCATTCTTTTGAACTGGAATTCCTCACAGTGTTTGTCCTCTTCATGTATGTCACCCCTCCTTTCCCTCTTTTTAATGTTGACTGGTAATTTGTTTGTAATTGTTGCCCCAAGGCTCTACAGACAGACCTCATGTGGTAGACACAACTGATCTAAAGCTTTAAAGAGTATGTGTGCAGGAAAAAACTAAAAGGCTGGGTTAATATACACAACTGATCTAATGTTTGGCGTTAGTGAGATGTTTTATGATTTTGAAAGTATCCTTTGCATTCTGAGACTGTGTGTTTAGTAAAAATAAAAACAGATATATTGTGGAATAATATAATATAATATAATATAATATAATATAATATAATATAATATAATATAATATAATATAATATAATATAATATAATATAATATAATATAGGCAACGCGGTGGTGCAGTAGGTAGTGCTGTCACCTCACAGCAAGAAGGTCGCTGGTTCGAGTCTCGGCTGGGTCAGCTGGCATTTCTGTGTGAAGTTTGCATGTTCTCCCAATGTTCGCCTGTGTTTCCTCCGGGTGCTCCGGTTTCCCTCAAAGTCCAAAGACATGTGGTACAGGTGAATTGGGTTGGCCAAATTTTCCATAGTGTATGAGTTTAAATGAGTGTGTTTGGATGTTTCCCAAAGATGGGTTGCAGCTGGAAGGGCATTCGCTGTGTAAAACATGTGCTGGTTAAGTTGGCGATTCATTCCGCTGTGGCGACCCCGATATAATAAAGGGACTAAGCCGACAATATTATATTATATTATATTATATTATATTATATTATATTATATTATATTATATTATATTATATTATATTATATTATATTATATTATAGTAATGAAGTTTACGGCCCTTTGGCCGCCTTGAAGAAGGAGGCGGAGAACCAACGTAGTTTAAAATATTTATTTATAATATGAACGGCAGCTCCTCACGGAGACTGCCGTCTAAACCAAAACAAACGGACGGCAGCTCCTCACGGAGACTGCCGTCAAACTGAAAGCAAAAATAAAATGCCCGGGCCCGGTCCTCTCTCGGCTTCCTTTGCCATCGTTCCTCCTTTTATCGTCCAGAGCTCCTTCCGTGGGATCCGCAGGTGTATCCACTTACACGGTGGCCTCACTCCGTTCCCACGGCTCTCGTGGTCACCTAAATAGGGTGACACAGTGGCTTGGTGGTTAGGATTCACAGCAAGAAGGTTGCTGATTCGAGTCCTGGATGGGTCAGTTGGCGTTTCTATGTGGAGTTTGCATGTTCTCCCATGTTGTCGTGGGTTTCCTCCGGGTGCTCCGGTTTCCCCCACAGTCCAAAAGCATGAGCTATAGGTGAATTGAATAAATTAAATTGGCCGCAGTGTATGTGTGTGTATGGATGTTTCCCAGTACTGTTTGTCCTACAGCTGTGTAAAACAAATGCTGGATAAGTCGAGAGTTCATTCTGCTATGGCAATCCTTGATGAATAAAAGGACTAACCCGAAGGAAAATGAATAAATGAATGTCCCTAATAATTGAACAGTTTTTTTTTTAATATGTCATAGACACAGGCATCCCTTTATTAGGTAAGCTATTTGAACAAATGTCAGCATGTTTCTCGGTACCACAGTGTCAAAAACACAGTAATGTGCAAATTGTAGACTCAACAATGTTACACAACCAAACCCAGATTTCATATTTGTCACAAACTCCTCATCTTTAATGCACTGTATAATAGACCTGAAGACGTCTACTCATTCTTTGTACCCACAGAGTTTAGACAAAGGCATGTGGAGACTTCACAATGCTGAATACCCTGAATGCCCAGCGCTGTTCTCTCTCATTTCCTTTTATAGTCTTCTTGCTGCTCTACTCTTTATTCATGATTTCTTTGTCTCTTTCTGCCTTGTGTTGCTTGTCTTCAGAGAAACGTGCGTCACGTCTCCCCTTAACAATCTTATTCTTATTAATGTCCCGCCTTCTAAATCAGCATTGTGAAACCACAAAAGTGGAACACATGTGGAAAAGTGCATATGTGAAGCATCAAGAGTTGTTTCTGCTTAGCGTATCTAAACCAGACGTGTAAAAAAACACTAATGAAAATATTTCAGCTCAGGCACATTGGAAAAACAACCCCAAAAACAAGCCCATGCATTGATTTTTTTTAGGTATGTTAGTAAAAAACTGATAAATAGTGTATTTATTTAACAAATTATGAATATTGATTAATAACAGTATAGAAGGTGCATGTTCACAGCAAACAAAGGCATGGTTTAATGATGCTGTGACTAAGTGTGGAATCATGGGAGTTGTGGTCTTCGTTAAATCCTATAGGAATTAATGATGCACGATACTGGAAAAACTGATATTGTAATATTTTATTTTTCTGTAATAAATATAGCAATTTGAATACAGTTTCTTTAAATAGCTCTATTTGATGGTTTTCTGGGGAGTCAGTATTCAGGTACAGAAATTAAATAATAGCAATGCAAAAAAATGCTTTTGCTATGTTTTTAGTCCAAATATCAAAAAACTTTTAGATCAAGTACAAACATATTTTTGTTATAATAACTTAAAAACCTCAAAATTAAGCGTTTTTTCCTTCAAACAAGTTAAAGTGGGGTAATTTAATCTTGTTTTCACTTTAAAATGTATATATTTGAACAAGAAATAAGACTTTTTTTTTTCATAAATAGTATAAATTCCGTATAAATTTATTCATTCATTCATTTTCTTTTCGGCTTAGTCCCTTTAATAATCTGGGGTTACCACAGCGGAATGAACCACCAACTTATCCAGCATATGTTTTACGCAGCGGATGCCCTTCTAGCTGCAACCCATCTCTGCAAAACGTCCTTACACACTCATTAAAACACATACACTACGGAAAATTTAGCCAACCCAATTCATCTGTACAGCATGTTTTTGGACGCCAACTGACCCAGCCGAGGCTCGAACGAGTGACCTTCTTGCTTATAGAATAGCATTCTCTGGATTTCAACGTTCTCCTAAACATATTATATACATACATACATACATACATACATACATACATACATACATATATATATATCTTCTCAGAAGACCTATAGTTTACCGAGTCATGCGACTACGGTAATATCGAAAAAAATTAATATTGCGGTATGACGGTATTTACAATACCGTTACATCCCTAATAATATATATATATATATATATATATATATATATATATATATATATATATATATATATATATATATATATATATATATATAATACCGTAGAAAATTTCTTGCTCTGTTAAAGATCACTTGGAGAATATATCATGAAAATTTGCAATGTGACCTTTTTTATGGAAACAGTACAAGCTTGAATGCAGTTAATGAACATTTCACCCTAAGGCACCATTATTCATCTCAATGTTTTCAAATGAGCATCGGTTAAAAGGGGCACCAATGACAAAAAGACAAAAAGTAAATAAGCACACATGTATTTTACACAGTATAATTAATATCTTACTTTTGCTTTCACACAGACAATTGTTTTACTATTAAGTGTCAGTTTGTGAGTATTCACTCATAGCCACTCACAGACTCTAAACAAGTTTTCTTCATTAACCTCAAACCATTCACTGTGGAACACCAGTTGGTTATTTTACCACTAACAAACCATACCTAATTGATGTGGGACTTCACCAGTGTCAAATGGTCGCATTTAAGCCTTGTGCATGTCTTTTAATTGAAGCAATATGCCCATGGGAAGATCAGTGCACTTGTGAATTGCACATGAGGAACTTGTAATACAAACAAGGACACTCCCACTCATCTGAAGGGGTTTGGTTAAAGTGTCTTGCACCATAAATGAAGCACAAATCACAGTTTAATCTTTGGATTTAATCTTCCACAATTTATACAGTGAAATAAATGCACACTTACTGCGTTGACATCTGTCGTAAGGATAAGGACTACAAGACACAACAGAAAACACCTGCAATATGAGAAAAAAATGTGCATTAATATGTGTGCAAACGTGTGTGTTCTACAACAAAGTAGCAAACAACAGGATTTACCTTAATGTGTTCCAGTGCTGCAGATGATTCTCACCCTCCATGCGAGCCTAAAAACAGATGAAATCTCTCCTTCAGCCCAAATGCCAGTGTCCTGTTACTGCATACTCAATGATCTGTAGGTTACAAATTGGCTTAAGTTAGTTCTTGCAGTTTAAAGCCCATATGGAAAATATATTAAGCACTGCATCAAGCGTAGCTGAAATATCCAACTAGTTTTTTTAGATGTGTTTTAAACATGGTAACTAGATATTCCAACCTTCCATTAGCTTAAAATACCGTAATGACCCAAGAATTTTATTCTCGAACTGACTGCGTACATACACCGATCAATATTAAAACCAGTTTACCAAGCAAACAAAAACAAGCTAACATGTTACCCTAACATGACACACTCTGCTAATGTGTCAAACGACTTCAAACAGACCATTTGGTTACTATTTGATCGCGTTTGATAACAATATCAGACATTTAAACGCGATATTTTGTGTTATTTCTTGCAGTGAAGTGAGTTTACCTAGATCTCGCACTCTTCCAGTAGCACGCGCTCCGCGTTCACGCCTCAGGAAAGTTGATAGTCTCACCTAAAATCCACCTTGCAAAAGCTTTTAAAAGAGGAAATACAGATCTCCGAGACTCAAACTTCTCCTAACAATGTTGAAATGCGAGTGATAGTTGTTCTAAACAGGGTTGTGTCAGTGCGTATTGATGGGTGGTCGTGGTTTGACGGGGGTGTGGTGGGCTCTTCTACAAGACTTTACTTTCAACAACAGCCACATAACGTTTAGGGCAAAGATGCAGACAAACGTATAGTTCAAGCTCGGGAAGAAGGAAGGCGAAAATTGCTTGAAACGGAGAAGAATCCGTCATCAGCGTGTCCTTTTGGACAACATTATTCATTGGTGTGAAGATGCGGCTTCCATGTGTCACTGTTTTTCTCCTCGCAGTCTTCTTGAGCATAGACGAGAGTACAGCTAAGGTAAGTGTAACGGGAAAACTAAGTTATGATCAACTATATATTTCTTTTACAAATGTCGCAGTTTCGGACATTAAAGTTCCGTTATACGCTCTTGAGGCGCAAGTCGCGCGCACAGATAAGTGCGTACAACTTGCGCGCGACTTGCTTGAACTCAAGTTCTACTTAATGTTAATAAAGTAGAAGACAGGAATGCATATTAAGTGAATACTTCAACAGAAATTCACACTAAAAGCTAAGTACTTCTTCGAAGCAAATCTGCTGATATCACGTCCTAAAGTTGTCTGCAACTAAAATGAATTCTGTGCTTTAAATATGCTTCATGCAATCTATAACATGACAACTATATATATATATATATATATATATATATATATATATATATATATATATATATATATATATATATATATATTGTTTTTAATTGTTAATAGGTAAATTAATCTAAGCTATAGTCTGGAATTTGACTGGATTGCCTGTTGAACTCACTTATGATGCTCACATTAATCTTGGTATATTGTGCATTTCTTCTGTGGCTTTTCTCTTGGCTTAAATGTGCCACTCCTCTTTGGTCTCATCTGGGGGTTGTATTACTCCTTCACCCCCCACCCCCACCCTCTATGTTGAATTTCAAAGTACTTTATTTGCTTGACTGAAGTAAAATAATGATAAAACTAATTACATCAGGGAGAGGAAAAATTGTTTTAGTAATGTTATAAAAGTAAAATAATAAACAATAATCAGCACCATGCAACAATGAAGCAAACATCCAATTGAACACAAACACATCTGATCTGTTTCTGATGATTATGAAAGGCATAAAAATTAGGATTTCGAACTATTTCCCTCTTGTATGAACAACTGTGTGTGTCATAGCGCATGTAAAGGCCACTAATTGGTGCCACGTTTGTTTCAAAGCTTACTTCACAATAATTAGATTCTTCATAGTATGAATTGGGGGAAATTTTGTATGAATTTTGGGGGAAAATGTCATTGCAAAATATTTTTTTTTGCCTGTGATCTATATTATAGTTTATACTATTATATAATTTCTCAATTTATAACTTGATTTTCACAACTTATGATTCTATTTGGAACCAGTTTATCATTTTAGATAGCTTGAAATTGTAATAGGGAATCTGCATAAAATATAAGAAACAAATCACAAGAATAGCTGAATAAAATCAAACAAACATGCGAATGAAGTAAACCATGATTTATATTATTACTGTGAAATCTAACAGATCTGAGGTATATAAATTCAATAATCATTCATAAAATAGCACCGTGTAGTCTTCATTGTAAAACAATTAAACAATTAATTGGTGTTAAAGCTTCAAACTTTATAAGTTCTTGTTTTAAGTTCACTTGAAATCTAGCACAGTCTTAAAAAGCACTGCCAAATGAAAATCTTTTAGGGTTAAATTTTGCGATGACCACACAAATTGCAAGTCAAAATATGGGCACATTTGCATATTGTGATATTGATGCTAAAACTTTATATTGTGGAGCCTTAATATGAATAATGATAGTATGTATGTAATCTGAACTGGCATTCTTCATGCTATTACTGCCATGTGACCTATGGCATCAGTTCCATTGCTTTGCTTTGCTTCCATTCATAAATCCTCTCCAAGTAAATAATCTATCGTTTGAGCACTAAGTCATCCGGATACTGTTCACCTACTGTTTTATAAATACTAATTTAAACATTTTATTTTAGCTTAGGTGATGTTTCTTGCAGGGCATGCCTGCCTTTGTAAGCCAGGTCTTCTTTTTTCTGTGGCTAAAACAGCAGACAACCTTGGCTTCTCATTCAGAGTATTGTACGCTTGCTTGCACATTGCTATGGTTAACACAAAACTTGTGTAAACTTATCCGTAACCATCTGGACTTTGTTTTCCATTTGTTTAAATGAAGAATCCAGTATAACTGAATGAGTCTCACTACATTTTTATCCCAAAACTAAGAATGAAATCATGTTTTCTCCTGCACATAGTTGTTATAGATGCATTAGTTTGAGAGCACTTTACTGGTTGTGTGTTTTTATTTGGTGGAGTTGCTGAGGGCGGGGTTTTAGTGAGGAGCACGTGCAGAGCGAGGTTTCGGGAGGTGACAGGTGTTTGGGTGATCTAAAACCTAACGGAGTGATTTATTGTGACCATGATTGATTTAAAAAAAGTGTTACATTTGGCAGTTTGGTGGAATTCATGAATGCATGCAGGCTTATCAACTGACTAAATAAACTCCTCTCGATGTTGCAGATATCTGCACGAGCATATCTGTCTGAAGAGTATTGACTAATTTCTGTTTTCAAAGTACAGTAAAGCTAACAAATGCCCTAGAATAGAAGAAAATAAATGTTGATGAATTACGAAACTGCGAGCAAGCTATTTATTTATTTTAGAAATAAATATTCTATTTTTACATATTTTTTGTAAATATCTGACAGGAAATACGATTATCGTCATTTTTTTCACATGATTTACAGAAGACACACACTAACATTGTAACAATTAGTGCGTGTATATTTATTTATTAAAATACCATTTTTATGAATTACAAAATGCAAATTAATTATCATTTTAAATGGTTATACTTTGCAATCTTCTTCTAAACGCAAGTGGATGGATGGATGGATGGACGGATGGAGGGAGGGACGGATGGAGGGACGGATGCATGGAGGGATGGATGGATGGATGGACGGATGAATGGATGGATGGACAGATAGATGGAGGGATGGATGCATGGATGGATGGATGGAGGAATGAAATGATGGATTGATAGATTTAGGTTAGGTTACTTTATTTAAATTTGGTTTGCAGTCAAGAGTCATCATTTCATAACAGAACACACACACAAAAAATAAAAATTAAATAAAACAATACAGAATAAATAAATAATCACTTCATGTGTCCACCACCCCCAAAATAAAAATTTAAAATAATCTAAAACATGTAAAATATAAAAGTCACAGATATATCTCTGCTTTAGTCAATGCCTTATTTAAATGTCTGATACGTAGATGTCATTTTTTTTGTTTTTTAAAAGAAGTTTTAATAGACGTCTAAACATAGTCATCTTGGCTAAATCAAGGCTTAATTAGGGCTGTCAGTAAAAATCTAATAGACGTCTAAGAATAGGCCAAAACTAGACTAGTCATCAACTAAACAGAAATGAATGACTACACGTATAAAGTCTGTCTAATCTGTCTATTTGACTTTTTTGACTATTTTATTAGACTAGTTGGGCTATTCTTAGATATCTATGAGGATTTCACTGAAATGACAAATTTAGCCTTGTTTTAGCCAAGCTGTCAACGTTTAGATATCTATTCGATGTCTATTAAACACACAATTGCTTAGTTGGATTTATCATTGATGGAATTATTTTATTATTCGCAATATTGTTATTTGCTATTCGTAAAAGTGCAGTGGATGTTGACCTCCACATGAATTGTCTCTGAAAGTGTGTGAATTCGTAATCTCTTGTCACTTTCCAGTGAAACAGCCATAATTTGCCACTCACAGCTGCCTCTCTGTCACCTCAGCGCTGTTGGGTAATTGATGCCATTTGCGAGTGGTATAAAAGTCAGGTTTGTGAACACTGTTATAACAACTATAATAACATAAACCCGTGAACAACAAGTTTTACTCTGTATTGTCTGTGACACACCAAAAGGTGTACCCATTTGTTGCTGTTGCCTTGCTTTGACGGAATGTCAATAGAAAAAAAATCTGGAAATTCTGTTAAATCAAGTTAGTTTTTCTAGTAAACAAATAAGTCATGCCAATCTCTCCAAAAATACACATTCAAAAGTGAACTAGAACAACTAGAAATGTGAACGTGATTCTGAGCTCGATCAGTGTACATGGATTGTTCTGTAAAATGGATAGAAAAGAACTAGTGTGTATTGCAGAATCCACCCCAAACCCTTGCAACATTGGTGGCATGTGAGTGTGGTTCATCATAAATCATGTGTTTGTTTTTTCTCTTGGGCGTCTAAATATTTGGTAAAACGAAATGTTCATGAAGACTAAAGATGTGCTTTCGGAACAGTCACTCTTTCAGCTGTTTCACCAGGCTGATACTTGCAAAAAAGAGGTGAAGAATATTCCTAACAAACAAATTGAAATGATTATTCATTGCATGTCCTAAAAAATCACCACCTAAATTTAACTAAACAAACTGATTAGTCTTAAGTATAAGTATAATGGGCAACCATCATCTTTGAGGAAGAAATGTGGTCAGAAAAAAATCTGTGTTCATGTAAAGGTCTGGTGAATTAAAAATAAACATAGCCTCAGTATAACTTAGGCTATGTTAAACTGTGGAAATAAGAGCATTTCCTCTTGCTAAATGTGAAGGTAACTCATGGAATTTGAACTGAACAGCTGTGTAGCCTTAAGAAAAGCACATCATTGAAGCTAATTGTGTAAAAACAAACTTCTGTTTGTTAGGGAGCATAAAAAATGGACTCTGGAGCAATGGAAGAAGGTCATGTGGTCTAACAAATCCTGATTTACATGGTTTCAGAGCATAGGTCTCAAACTCAATTCCTGGAGGGCCGGAGCTCTGCAGTTTTGCTCCAACCCTAATTAAACACAGCTGATCAAACCAAGGTGTTCAAGCCTAGTACAGACTATTAAGCAGGTGTGAGTTGGAGGTGGATGGAGCTATGCAAAGCTACGGCTTTCCATGCGACAAGTTTGAGACCTACTGTGTGTTCCAGAGCACTGGATGCACCAGGGTAAAAAGAGAGGCAGATGATGTGATGCACCCATCATGCCTAGAGCCTAACAAACAAAAGATGTTACAGTCTGGAGATGCTGCAGTCAGTCAGGTCTACGTAGGTTCTGAAACATGATGTGCCCAAATAATGATTTATTTTACTTTAGATTTTTTCTTCCTAATGGTCAATGATCAATAGGCATATTTAAAGATGACAATGCCAAGATTCATCAGTCTTAGATTGTGAAAGAGTGGATAAGGGAGCATGAGAC